TGAGCCGGTGAGATTTGAACAGCCGAACTGCAGAACTGCAGTCAGCTGAAGTAGCCTGCAGTGCTGCACCCTAACCACTGCGCCACCTCGGCTCTCAACAAAGAAGCACCAGGGATGCTTTGCCAGTTGACAGCCGGTTTTTGTCCCCATGAGCCAATCTCATGTAGATCTCAAAGTGTGCACCTTACCTGAGCGACCACTCTCTCTTGGAGATTGGCGTCTTGAGTGGGGAGGTTTCCTCTCTTCAACAGAGCTTCGGATTGGAAGTTTTTGATGAACTCCATTGTATCCTACAAAAGGAACGCACACATGCACCGTTTTGTGGCACAATTCTTCTCACAAGGAATCCGGACGCCAAGCCACTGAGGCAGCGGTTGCTTCAAAGAAAAGAGGGAAGTTCCTCCCCAAGAGAATATCTGCCAAATAATTCGTTTTCTGGGGGGAAATTGATTAGGGACAGGGAGGCACGGAAGAGGTTGTTAAGTAGGCCTCAAACCAGGGGTGGGTTTCAACCGGTTCGCGGCAGTCCCCACGATCCGGTTGGTCGCCGAACCCGGAAGTAAGTAACTTCCGGGAACAGCGAAGCCCCCCCCCCTGCGCCCGCGCGCGCCCGCTCCTTACCTGGTTTTGCTGAATTCTGCGCTTCCACGCATGCGCAGGACGCATACAGCGCCTGCGCGATCCTCCAGGAGCAGCTGGAGCATCGCACAGACACTAGTACGCACGCGCATGGTGCGCGCATGCGCAAGGACACCACCGGCCTCGTTCCAACTGAACCGGTTGGAACGGGGCGAGAAACCCACCCTTGCCTCAAACCCTTTGGTTTCAATCCCCGTTGATCTCCTCCTGTCATCAATCGGACAGTCACTTGGAAGCAGAACTGGAAAAGCTGAAAAATTAATGTTTGTCGATTCCAGTTTCTGTGGTCATGGGGGCCACTGGGAGTCCTTGACTACATTCGGGACTGGAATTTTGTTCCTAAGTAGTGATAGTTATACGTTGAGATACCCACCGGACTGGAATCCAATTTTATAACTCTTTTGATGATGGTTGTTAAGCAAAGTGGGGGAAATCCCAGCTAATTCTCTCAAAGGGTGTATTTTTGCAAGAAACTGGCAAAAGAGATTGCAAATCTCAAGTCACATGACTTTGGGATGCTGCAATCAGTGGGAAATGTGATTGCCAAGCCTCCAAAATCATATGAGAGGGACAGTCAGAAATGCTTTAGGGGCCATAAAAACACCCTTTCCAAGGCTGTCGTAACTCCAAACCTTTGTTAAATGACCTGTCATAAGTCAAGGGCTAACTGTAGTGAAGGTTTGTGTGTGTACGTCTGTGTGTGTGTGTGTGTACATACACAACACACACACATATATAAAAATAAATGTCTCTTCCCATTTATGACTATAATCATGTTGCTTGTATCATTACAATTTATATTGTTTTATTTGTTTCCTGGTGTGATTTGATTTCTTATTAGTGGCCTATGAACAGCGGTGGGTTCCTGCCACTTCTAAATCTACAGTGCCATTTAGAACCAGTTCCAGCTCTCTCCCCCCGCCCGTCCATACATCATCAAGATGAAGAGCGAGAGGAGGAATTCTGGGAGTTGAAGTCCACAAGTCTTAAAGCTGTCAGGTTTGAACACCCCTGGTTTTTTTTTTTTAAGGGTTAGGGGTGTGAGGGTCTTGTAACTTGACAGCTTTAAGACTTGTGGGCTTCAAATGCCAGAGTTTCTGAGCCAATATTTTGGTTGCTAAGCGTATTGTTAAGTGACTTTCACCACATTTTACAAGTTGGCCACGCCCACCCAATCACATGGCTGCAAGCTACTCCCACCCAGTCACATGGCCGGCAGGCCACTCCCACCCAGTCACATGGCTGGCAAGCCACTCCCACCCAGTCACATGGCCGGCAGGCCACTCCCACCCAGTCACATGGCTGGCAAG